TTCATCACCTCTGTCAGATTTGGGAATTTTGTGTCGATATCATCAATTCTTTATTTTTGGCAGAAATTTTTGCCATTTTTGGTAAAAAATACTATTTTTTACTTCTTGAAAACTACCAACTCAATTACTTTGAAACTAAGTATGTAGGTACCCTGGCTGGATCTTTGTCAGATTTGTTCATTTCATGATGATATTTTCAATTCTCTATTTTAAGCAAATATTTTTGTCATTTTGGATCAAAAATGTTATTGTGATTTTTTCTTGAAGACCGCTATTCCAATTGCTTCGATACTTGATATATGTGTATCCATTAAATTAGTTCTTTCTGTGCACTAGGGGAACACCCAAGGCTTTTCTGAAACAGTGCAGCTATTTTGACCATCAGTTCACTTGTTATTATAAACGCTGTATAGTTCCAAGCTCCAACCATTCTGAATATAGTTAGATACAACTATTTCTATATCAATCTACTGCATTGTGTCAGGACCATTACAGCTATGTATTTACACCATGTTCTCCTGCTCTCGAGTTTTAATTGATATCGATTTATAATTGACAGTTTTGATTTTTATTGCAGACAAACTTAAACAGTGGAAAAACTCTGATATGTAATGGTTCAAATCAGCTCAATATAAAATTTATAAAATAGAATGTTTTATTGTCATAATTCTATCTTCACAGGGATACCCTACTGAGAGATAATTTATTTGAAGTGTCAACCATCAGTCGTACATTTTATATACAGGTAAACATAATCCACTTGTTTCATTTTCATCCAATTGTTTTATCACCAGGAAAATACTCCAAAGCTAATTTGTTTAAAATGTTTGTATTTGTTTTTATGGTAATTTTGTCTAGTTGTTTGGATCCGCCACACTACAGTAGTGTTCATGCTACCCGAAGTACGGGCTAAGATTTAAGCGCATATGTTTGCATATTAGATAGACCCAATTGTGTTCATGCATGGGAGAAAACAATGGTTAGCAGAACATTAGAATGCTCAAAATTGTTAAAGGGGCACTTCCAGTTGTCTTACAACAAATTTACTTTCTGTATTAAAATTACAATGGATAACAAAAGATAGATTAACTTTGTAAACAACATAAACAATAGTGTCCCATGATTTGCTGGTGCAATCCCTGGGCTTGGAAGGTTCCCCTTTAAGAGTATACGGTTATAAAACAATATCAAAGCAAATTTAAAAAGTATAGAGTGCAGAATAACTCAAATAAACACAGTTAATAGTAGTTAATACAATAGCAAATCTTCCTAATGCACTTTGAATACAATTGGGTTTGGAGTGCTTAACCCAAGCTAAGCATACATACACACACACTTCACTACCCATGGTAAGGATCTGGACCAGGTTGTAAAAATAGGCTACCGGGTAGATTTAATCTTTTCTTAACCAGTGCTAAGCGTTTACACAAGTATTCTTAGCACAGCTTAAGGTATTTGACCTGTTAATCAAATTTTCTATGATTTGGTGATTGGACATCTAGTGCTGGCTAGTTTCAATGCTCCAATAATATTTAAGGCTTTGTTGTCAAATTGACTGATTTTTTAAGTTATCATGATGATCACAATAATCAGTGTGAGGTTTTCTTCATATAATACAATGTAGAAATGCAGTAAGACTTGGACAATGGGAAAACAATGGACCATTGCAGACTGGTGTAAATAATATATTGTGTTACTGACAGTTGTAAATTAATAATTAACACTGGTGGATTACATTGTATGTTTGGTTCTAAAGTCTAGTGATACACTGTAAAATGACTAATTTTCACTGGGTTTAAATTTCACTGATTTACCATTTCAGGCATATTCAGTGGGTTTTAAATTCACGGTTTGATCATTTAGATAATGTGTTCTATGGTAAATTTTACATATTCACTGGGTTTTAATTTAGCGCATTTTCCAGTCAGCGAAATAAGCCAAATTAAAACCCTGTGAATAATTAACCCCTTTACAGTAACAAGTGTTTATAATGAGACGTATCTGATATATAGAGTACTCATGACTGTAAACATAGTCCTGAACACCTGTTACTCTAATCGACATTATTTAGTCTACGTGCAATTTTTTTCGAAGGCCTAAAAAAATGGCTTTGATTCTTGTGCACATCAGTTTTAAACTTATTCACCACCAGTTCCCTCTTTTCACAAATTTGTTCTGTTTATAGTCTACACTTTCCTTCAGAAGATTGGGACAAAAATAACCGAATTTTTTGAGTAAAAACTGAAAATTGACTGAAATTTTGTCTGTTGGCTCCAAAATTAGGGTTCATTTCCAGAAATATTGAAGAATATTAGAAAAAAAGTGCAGAATAATTTGGGTGAGAAAGTCTGGTGGTGAAAAGGTTAAAGGTTATTTGGAGTTACATGTGTCACATGCGACAGAATAGGGGAAATTTTTTATTTATGTTTCAGAAAATGTTCAACCATAATCAATCTTATCGATAAAACAGGTATTCAAAACATTGAATGAATATCTTGTTGCTGTGGTACTAAATAAACTGGAACGAGAAGCAAAACCCTTATGGGAGTTGAGACGAGACAGTGATTTGTCATTCATCTAGTGAAAGTATACCTCTTATTGATAAGAATTGAATTTGACTTATTAGCTTAACAGAAAGCAGCAACTATGAAAAAAGTATTTTAAAAAATGTTTTATTATAGGATCCTCATCTATGTTTTCAATAAAGTTATCTAAAAATGGGTGAGGCATATTATTTTAAATAAGTTGATATGATTTTCAGTTAGAGACTGACCCTGCTTGAAATTTTTTTTTTTCCAGAAATATGTAGGTCAATTTTATTTCAATGTCAAGTTAGTTAATACTCTGCCAAGTGCCATTATGAACTTTGAATCGTATTGTCATTTCAGTCACTGTGTGGATAATATAAAATTTATAATGGTCAATCCCAAACATTTCCAGATTTCTTTGGCTATATTGCTAATGGGCTGTGTTGAAACAGCCTGTTTTTCATTGATCACATTAGATCACTACTTAACTTGCAAGAATACATACCATAAAAATCATCTTTGACATCCTCACATCATAATCATTTCTATGAAATTATTTCTTATTTTTTTATATTTTTTTTAAGGCCGACAGCCCAGAAGAGATGCAGAGCTGGATTTCATCAGTTTGTGGAGCAATAATGGCAAAAAGAGCCAGCGTCGCTACAAACACTTGGGTAAGTTAGCATTTGAACAGATTTTGTTAGGGCGCCCTCTAGCGGCTAAATGCAACAAACTTTTGTTTATTAGATGGGATTTTGACAGAATTATACATGGGTATTCCAGTAGATTGATATACTATAAACCGTGAAGACAATATTTTACAAAATTCTGACACTGATTCCAGAGACATTTTTCGTTTCTACAAAATGCCATAACTGTCACTGACTCTCACTCTGTTGTGAATGCTCCATGTTGATTTAATGCATTGCCTGCTGAGGCTTTCAGCAGTCGATGTAGTATATTTCAGTTGCACGCATTTAAGTAGAAATTAACCTGATCTAAGCTGATGTAGGTAAAACCTTAATTCCAAGAATCGGTGTTCATCGCCTTAAATTACATCTAGCCACCTATCATATCCAGACAGCTTTCTTCTGATAGGATTTTTCCACCAATTAGAGCATGCCTTCTTAGAAATTAGCATGTAACACAAGTTTTGATTGGTTGCAAGTTCTATGATTTTTGATATTTGGTCAGATGTAATACCTTGGCCTTATATTAGAGTTGTACTATGAGATCTAGCTGTGTTAGGCTCTTGTGACTATTAAGTGAAATATGTGATCTGACTATGCACAAATTGCAGGAGATATGTCCTAATAGACCATTTTCCGTACACTGCGAGAATCACGCGTTATGCGTGAAATCGAACGTAAAAACAGGACAAACAAAGGTCATAGCGCGTAGTCGCGTCAAACATCGTGTGGGATTCGACAAACGCGAAAGTATTTCCGGGACATTTCCATGCTTAATAATGTGCTGTCCACATTTGATGATAGGCAATTTCGATTAAGTGAGGGTATTCGGAAGCAATATTCCTCTGTCGAAGATCGGCCGGTCAATGTAAGCTGCGAAATAAAGAAATTCTAGTTCAAAAATCAAATCGTTCGATTTTTGCAGCAGACGTTCGACGTGCGTCTTTCATGCATCTCGCGAGATCTCGCAATTGTTTGGAAAATCCTCTATTTTCAATGATTTGTCAGTGTGTCCAGGGTTGGTGATAGTTTTGGTCTCACATTTGATTGTGTTTGAATTTCATTGGCTGACATTTTTGATTGGTGTTCTAATGTGCATGAATTCACAAAGATTCACTTCCAGGTGAATCATCAAGTATTTTCTGTAATCCGCTGATATAACACCAAATGACATTATCAAAAGCTATATAATACATGTCAAAATTAAAATTTCTAGTCTTGGTTAATCTCAGTAAATTTGCCCAATTAGAAAGGCTGGTGTGCTTTACATTTTCATGACCTATGGTGTGACATCATAAGCGAGTGCTGTGATTTTACACATTTTTTTATTAAAACTGAAATAATTCTGTATTGATTGCATAAATTATATAAACCCTTTGATCATCAGCATTTATATTGCCAAAAGTTTGGAGTAACATTTTTATGTCTTTTTCTACAATTTCTTTGTCAGTTTTGGACATAATTTTTAATTGGACAGTAGATTTTATTGCCTGTATGAAAATGCCATCAAGTAAACATTGTTTATCATATGCAATCATGTGATTATGGGGAATTATTTCTCTGCACATTTAATGCTTTGACCACCAACTTTTGTCAACTTTCATAGAATAAAACCTACATACATTTTTTTCTTTATTTTACCAAAATTTGGTCAAGATCTGTAGCCAATGGAAAATTATATCCATTTGCTCCAAAATTATCAAAAATACATAAAAATGGATAAAATGTTTGGCAAAAAAATAATTGCTAATGAACATGGCATAATTCATCCCTCAAGATGCATGTGATTGTGTGTGTGACATTTGCATAAATTTTGAATAAATTATATGATATTACTGGTATTGTAGCTAGGCATATAAAGTTTAGGCCAAATTCAAATTTGTCGTTATTTGATGTAAAGTGATAAAATATATGAAGTGATGTTTGTCAATTATTGTACTGTTAATGTTTGTCGTGACTGACTGTGTGTGGTCGATTACATTTCTTTATCCCAAGGTGTCCTATATCTAGTTACTTGAAATATACTTGCAGCTGAATATCACAACTTCTAACTAAAAGGTAATGCGGTTTGTAAAATAACACATAGCTATACTAATCCTCATCACCATACCGTAATGCTTTAACTAATTATTTGTTAAAAGTGTCTAGGTGATGGATAGATGGACTGACTTCAGCCGATTCCATAGTTTATATTATGTGTACCATGCTTCCTTGTCTTAATTCATAATGATGCACACAACAGTACACTTAGAGGGTATTTCTGGTCTTCAACTTAAATTTCTTCACTTCACTTTGTATTTGTCTTGCATTGTGGTGGTTATTGCTTTTATAATTTCTATTCTCACTGTTATTGTCCAATTATTTCTATCTGTTCGCTTTTGTGATGAGTTTATACGATTTTCATATGGAGGTTTATATTATCCCATATGGAGATTGATAATGCTTTCTTGTATTTCGCTTTTGCTGAAGTTAGCAGATTACCCATAATCGCATGTAAATAACACTATTAATACTGAATCCATAAATGTAATAATGAATCTTGGACAAATGTGAGTTTATGCATCAGTATCTCACTTTATGTCTGTCTGTGTTCTCATAACTGCTTCCTATAAAGTATCTTTTTCAGTTGAAGTACAGAATAGAATAGATAGAAACCTAAACATACAAGTATCTGAGTTAAAAAAATGAATGAATACATTTATTTCTCTCTTTTTTATCGTTTCAGACTTTATAACCCTAGTATATCATCACACCATTATAACCAACTACTTTACAACCAATCAGTTTGCAGTTCATGGTTATCATGTGACACTCTCCAACCAATCAGTGTGCAGTTCATGGTTATCATGTGACACTCTCCAACCAATCAGTTTACTAGTAATTAACAAAAGTTGTTTAAGTATTATACCTTACTTTCTGCATTATACTGAGTTTACAAAGTTTATTTTCATAATATACATGTTTTGTCAAAATAGTATATAATATCAAGTTGAGCTGCATAATTCATTTCAATGTGTGTTTAAAACAGAACTATAAAATTGTGTTGTAGTTATGGAAGTCCTGAAATGCATAGTGTTTTTATTTTTTTAATTAGAATTTTAACAAATGTAAATATAGTGTTTTAACTATTTTTTTGGCAGGGCTAACGTGTTTGGAGGTTATAACATTTTACTTTTATTTTATATCTGTTTTTACGAATATTTTTGAAAGACAAAATGATCTGGATTTACTATTGATGACAAATAATATTTAAACGTGGATGCGTCCCCACATTTATGAATTTGATACAAAAATTTGATAGAGATATTCCCTGCTACATTAAGCACCATTGCAAAAATTATTTCCATGGAGTGTACGACTTTTCAAGATGTCTGCAATCGCTGTGTTTTGTAATAATTGTATAGAATAGAAATAACTGTGGGAATATAGATATTAATATACTACTTTGGGTACATGATCACCATTTGAAGGCATTATTACATAATTCATTATTTGCTAATAGTTTGGAAATTAATCAGTTCATAATGCAAAATATATGGATTTGTAGGTTGCAGTCCAGTCCATACTTAACTTAACTCCTAAACAAACTTACTTTGCCGTTTTATAAATTGTTCAAAAAATATAATGTGATAATCATTACAATCAATATTTTCAACTTATTCTTTGTAGTATTCACCCATGTTACTAATATAATGTATATTTAGATACTGTAAAATACTTTATTTTAGCTGAAAAAACGTTTGGGGTGTTTTGTATAGAATTTATTTTCACTGATTCTTGAAAAGTTGAATGTAAAATACAGGAAAAAAGGTATATTCACTGGATTTTATTTTCAATGAATCATTCCTTTAGCGAAAATTGATTACAAGCGAAAATAAAGTATTTTACAGTATATAGTTGTTTTAAAAGCAAGCAGGTATGTGTAATCCAGCTAAATGTTAGGTTACGCTCGGACTGTGCTATAGATAATTGTATGATACAAAATACAATGTAGGTGATCTAATCAAGAATCTGTTGAAAAACAGGAATGATAATTTTGACGAATCAATTTTTTGATAATAATTAAACTATATTTATCATGAAACTTAATATGAAAGGTTTTCCTTATACCAGTGCCGTATTTGGTCTTAAAAGTGCATATAAACCCAAAATCCCTTTGGTAGTATACTGAATTATTTAAATATTTTGACATAAAACACCTTTGTAATTTACATAAAACACATATATTACTAATAGAACAAATACGGTACTCGGGTTTTTGTTCAGTTCTTATATTTCTGTTTGTGCATGGAACACAGCATTATGCAGGTACTGTGGGTTTTATTTATTAAATGTTTTCGATATGCTGTCAAATGTCACTGCTATATATTTCTGCATTTTGGATATTTTAGGCGATTTGCAGTAATTGTTTAAACATTTTTTAATAGTTGATTAATTAATTCATGTGCACTAATCCCATAGCATGATATTACATATTGATTTCGGCTTTTCTAGACTATTTATAAATGTATGAACTTTGTTGCCATACCAACATTATTGTATTTTCTCGAATATAAACTCTAGCAGAACCTAGCATTTATTTATTGTTTCATTAGAAGACCAACCATCTTCTTGCCTTTCTTGCTGTTTTTCTGATCCATTTATGTTGACAGTTTCTGGTCAAAATTAATTCTTATTAGTGAGCGATGAAAAAATACAAAAAGAAAGTGGCTTAGAAAGTAACTCTGATCATGGAAGATACTAACGGAGTACCTTTCATGCTCTGATATAAGCTCAACTAGAGAGCAAATGCTTTATATCAAATATACATAGTATGGAACTAATATGAATTTGTAACAAATAAGACCATTTTCAGTAACTTGTTGTATTACATCAGTATCTTGTATAGCCTTTATTAAAATTTGTTCATTTAGCAGCCCATCCAAACCCAAATACCGGTATGTAACAACATTCTTTTTTCAAATCTACCATTAACCTGCTAGAAATGTGGATGGATGTATAGTTGGATTTTTAATTAATATAGATCAGGAATGAGGATGAATTAAAATGGTGGATTTGATGACACTTGGACACTGAATCTGAAGCCTGCAAATGATCTATTGTCCAAATAACTTGATGTGTTAAAATTTGTATTTCTTGAAGTATATTTATTTCATATTGGTCATTTCTGGTTATAATGAATTTCTGTAAATTTTTATCTCAGTATGAATTCCTTAATTTTGTTACAAAAATACTTTGATGGTTGCTGTATTTTGTTCATTATATTAAATAGTGGTTGTTTCTTTATCTTTGTATTCACATCTTTGAATTGCATTATAGCATGATTCATATCGAAGATCAGTATAAATAGAGAATTTAAAACAAGCAGACTGTCGGCTGAGATAGCTCTGCTGTTAGCAATGCACATTGCAAATAAAGAACAGAATATATCATTAGAAAATGAACATTATGTATAGTATCAAAGCAACAGGACTTACTGTTTTCAACAAGAATTCAAAAATATCACTTTTCACCAAAAATATTCATAAAAATTAGATAATTGAAGATATCACCACGAAATGAACAAATCTGAGAGGTCCACATGTAGTACCTATATATGTAAAATATTAAAGCAATTGGACTTGCGGTTTTCAACAAGAAATCTAAAATATCACTTTATAGCAAAATCACAAAAATATTCACTAAAATTAGAGAATTGAAGATATCATCATGAAATGAAAAAAATCTGAGAGAGGTCTACCCAGGGTACATATACACCAAGTATCAAAGCATTCAGGCTTACAGTTTTTAAGAAGAAGTCAAAAAAGTAAAACATTGACACGGACAACTGATGGACAATCACTCATATGATAAGCTCCGCACGACAGCGGAGCTAAAAATTGAAAATACTCTCACCGCTTTGTCACAGCTTCAACACTAGAGGGACAAATTATAAATAGACCAATTTTTTTATTCGCATGTACCTGCTGTTCAAAAACTGGAAGATTGAACTACATTAGAAATAAGTTTTGATCACAAATAACATTTTGATTTCACAATACCCTGAGTAATTTGGAGCATACAACTATATCAGTGCTACAGATTACACAGAATTGCTGATCAATTAGAATCGTGAGACTGTACTATCACTATTGGATGTATCAGAGAAATCATCTGTAAACATAGGGTGAATTACCAGAATATTATTTCCTTGGTACTAAAAATACTTTGGGAATGCCTGTCCCCCTGTTGGGATAAAAATAACAGTTGCATTACATGAAATTTATCATACAACAGTGCTACCAGTGAGTCCCTTGGAAGAATTCTTTCATTTTCTGGCTTTTTCGTCACAAATAATGGTTAATTTTGTAAGTTGAAATGTTATGTGCAATCAAAATGTGTATATTTTAATTTTGGAAAATGTTTGAACTATGCAATTCATAGATGTAGATATTGTGATGAGTGGCTATTTTGTATGTAAGGATGAAATTGTTTTTGTTTTTTTTTATTCCAAAGCCATGTGCTAAGTTGCGCTGTGGTTGAGAGCAGTGGTAGGAGAGCAAGTACACAGACTTACTTCCTGAAAATTCAATACACACACACACACACACACACACACACACACACACATAAAATATGAAGATTTGAGTCAAGATAATATGGAACTGCTTGAAGCTCCTTTATTTCATACTGAACAGTGGTTTGATTCCACGGCAATTACTCACATGAAGATACCCAGTCTTCAGATAGGTAAAAATTCTCCATTAAACAGTTCGGTGAAAATATGCCACTATTGTTTAAGAATAATGTAGCTTTCTCCCGTGAATATTTGTAAGTATCTGATACAAAAACCGGAGAATGTAACAAGCTTATACATGTACTGGGACTAACCGGCGTTTAACGACTTTTATTCATGTGTATCAACTACATGTAGGTGTGAGGAGAAATGAACGATCTATTGCTCCGACAACAATTTGTTTTCAGGCAACCAGCAAAATGTATGAAGTCAGTTTTACATCAGTGATTCCTATATTAATTTTATAAATACTAGAAAGACAACTGTATTTGCTCTATTACGAGTACTTTTCCAAATTTGTAGGTATCTGGAAGTGACTGCATTAAACATTCAAATGACCGTCAACCAATAGGAGCTTCCCATATGAAGCATTTTTTTCAGAGATACGCTTTGATAGAGCGATAAATCAGTAACTTTTATCACCTGCTTCAACATTTCTTTTTTGCCGAAATCTGTTACGACACCAGTATGTGAATAAAAACTGAGGAAATAGACATGTGTTATAATTTGCGCAGTTATCTGGATGACAATTCCATGTGTTGACAAAGAGGATTTTACAAGTTTATTGATTCTACCAACAGGGTATCCATTGGGAACATATGAAAAATTACTTGACAAGAAACAACCAGGTCTAACTCTTGAGAATGCTGAAGAACCTTTTTACCACAAAAATATATATTATAATATAAAAAAAAATAAAGGCTAAGTTGATGTTAGCACATGAAATTTCCGTTCATTTTGTCAATAAACACAACAAAACTAGCCGTTAAAAAAAAAAAAAAAGAAATCAGCAAAGAGTTGTTTTTTTTACACATGAGGAGCTCTCGATTTTTTTTCTAAAGTGAGAAGTATACGTTTGTACACATTAAAGAATGTTAAAATGATAATTGATTGTACATCGTGTATGCTGCGAAATCTCTTGAAAACTCAAACGTTTGACAGTGCACGTAAAATATTCACAAAACACGAGACTGTAAAATATGTGGAAGACGCACTGCAAAATACATCCACCACGCATAGGCGATTCGTGACATAAGTGAAAGAAATATGGAAGAGAAGCCAGATAGCTTCAACTTTGAGGTTCTGGCCAAATAGAAAAATTTCCAAAATAATGCCAGCTTTTTGAGAACTATGATAGAGAATGATTGGTTTCTATGGTGAAACCTTCATTTATATATGGGCCAAAGTGCTGAAATTGCAACTACAAAGTTTTGTAGTTTCACCAGACTTTCAAAAATCTATGAAAATTTGTCAAATGGGTTTACACTAATGTCAAATCACAGTGTTGAGGGACTGGGGTCAAATAATACATGAAGGTCAAGGTAAGAGCGCCCTCATGGAACATTCACAACAAACAATGAATATTGCCACTAGAGGGCCCTACAAAAATATTTCCCCAGATGCAGTATTCTGTCAACAGTTCTGCTTTGCTCTGTTTAAACCATATCGCTTTCTAGTCGGTAACCGAAAATAACAATGAACTACTTCTGGTGAGTATAATGTTTATTACAATGTACCTGTGTTACATTGATTAGATCGAGTGGAGGAAAAATGTTAATTACACAAAAAATTATGTATGAAAGCCTCTAACGCTTAAGCACCAGTTAACAAAAACGGCTTTGTCAGAACTCCTTTCTTTGCTTATATATACTAAACAGATAATGTCTAAAAACAGCATTTTGATTCAAAAACAGCAAAGCAGAGGCCAACACATTATCAGTCGAATCAAGGTCCATTTATACATTTCAAATGTTGAATAACACCTTAGTTTTTTATGACTATGGAGATTATCAACCTTGTTGTGCAAAATAAAACAGAGATCAGAAAATAAAATATTATTGAATAAAAATTAATTATGGCTATTAATTATGTTTTATGCAAAAAGGCAGGCAAAATTTTTTGGTCTAACATACGAATACATAAAGTATCAATCTGACAACACAGAAACACTGTTCCATTTGGGTTTCAGCTCCCCCACAATAATATTGCTTAGGTTTTTAAAGAAACAATTTCAAGACGTGATATGTACAGATTGAAAAAAAATGAACGAGGACAAAGCCACGTAAAGACGATGACGACAGAGAGTGACAACAGTCCACACTGTTCACACAGAGATTTGCTAGTTCACTCAGCTTAGCAGACATTATGTGATACACATCTATTACAAGGTAACTATTCTTTGGTTATTTTATGCCACGGTTTCTTGTCAATGCCTTTACTTTCTGGTAAATGCTCATAATGACATTTGTCGCCAAACGCACACCCCGTCGTTCGCCAGAAGTAACATTCATCACCATTGACAGGACCTTTTAATTTATGTCTCGGCTCCAGACTGCAAACAAAATAAACAAACATGACATAAAGGCCCCCATCATTTCACTGATTAAATAAGACTTGTAGAATTATAATCTAATAGAAAACATAAGACAAAAACGGTTTGCCTCCTGTTCATTTCACAAAGGCAATGGAATATTCATTCAATTTTTATTCTCAAACCCAGGAAGGGTATTTGCACTAGAGATGATATCTGATCTTGATGGAACAGTTTGAAATCAGTAGGACGTTGATAAAACAACAATCTCAGTCAACAACGATCCTTTTTACGAATAGATTCAATCAATTCATCAATGAAATTATTAGCAGGTCTAGAAACTTACGAAGATCATGAAGGCTATTGTCTCGATTTCTCAACCCGAATGTCTTGTTGATCTAAATGTTAACTGCTCAGTTTCAATGTGACCAATGCATTTTCAAAATGTTTTGCCTTAAAAATTGAGTGCCCTAACAATTCTGAAATTCAAGCACTATAATCGCATTACATGGAAATATACTGGTCATCAAATCATGTCGATTGTACCAGTCAAAATGTTGTATTTCAAACTTCACAATCACATGCAGGATGAATTCTAAAAATGCATACTAGAATACTTAGAGCAATAGTCTTATAGTGAATAGCATTATCTTTTCAATATATTTCAACTTGCTACGATTATATTAAAAATTAAACCAGTAGTTTTTTTCATCAGTTGGCTGAAAATCTCCATGGATAGTCAAAATGAATGGGGAAATAAACAACATCAACATGTGATGAAAAATCACTTTTACAGTTCCATAATTTCTGAACTTTTAAATATAGAATCAATCAACTGAAAACCATATCATGTAATATTAGAATGTATTTTATGTACAATTTCGCCAAGAACACCAATTTCATTGTTTATGAATTACATAAAATATATGCGAATAAGACAAACAAGCAGCCGGTCGGCTGAGATAGCTCCGCAGTTAGCAATGCGCATTTCAATTAAAGAACAGAAGACATCATTAGAAAATAAACAATATGTATAGCATCAAAGCAATGGGACTTGCTGTTTTCAACAAGAAGTCAAAAATATCACTTTTCACCAACAATGAAAAAAATCATCATCAAAATTAGATAATTGAAAATATCACCACGAAATTAACAAATCTGAAAGAGGTCCACATGTAGTACCTATATATGTAATATCAAAGCAATTGGACTTGCGTTTTTTAACAAGAAGTCGAAAATATCACTTTTTACCAAAAATGACAAAAATATTCACCAAAATTAGAGAATTGAAGATATCATTGCAAAATAAACAAATCTGAGAGAGGTCCACATGAATTACCTATATATGTAATATCAAAGCAATTGGATATCAACATGAAATGAACAAACCTAAGAGAGGTCTCCCCAAGGTACATATACACCAAGTATCAAAGCATTCAGGCTGGTAGTTTTCAAGAAGAAGTCGAAAAAGTAAAACATTGACACGGACGACGACGGACAATCACTCATATGATAAGCTCCGCTCGACAAAGTCGACAGCGGAGCTAAAGATGTGAATAAGACAACATTTCCGGCCAATCACGCCATCAACAAAACTGATCCAAACAATGAACTTACAGTATATAACTGCATATTGCAGTTAAAACCCAAAATAAAACAAAAATACTTACGAATCATTAACATCTGTAGTATTTGTACTAGTAGGTGAAGAAGGAACAGCAGCATTTGCAGGTGTTACTATTTTTTGGTTAATTTTTATTGTACTGGGTAAAGCTGACGACGTAGCAGGTATACTAGACGAAGTTGGATGATTTTTTTTGATAACTGTTGTACGAGGTTGACCATTCACTATTGGGTTGTCAGGAAATTTTATCAGTATCCTTTGACCCTGCATTTCTAGGCCCTGTCGGGGTGATGAGAAATGACAACTCAATATACAAACAAATGAAGGATTTAGTTTAATAGGAGTGGAACAACAAACAAACGATTGGACAGAGTCTATTGGTTGTCATGTAATAAACATATTAGAATTAGAAGTGCATCTCTAAAAGTAAGGCACATAAACCGAAAAATTTCATTTAGTGAGTACTGTAAAATGACTAATTTTCACTGGATTTAAATTTCGCTGATATACCATTTCAGGCATATTCAGTGGGTTTTAAATTCATGGTTTTATTATTTAGATAATGTGTTCTATGACAAATTTTACATATATTCACAGGGTTTTAATTTAGCGCATTTTCCATTCAGCGAAATAAGCAAAATTAAAACCCAGTGAATAATTAATCCTTTTACAGTACCCTACTGAATCATTAAAATATGACTTATGCGCTATTAATAGAGCAAATATGGCAGATGTAATTATTAATATCATTTGATGTAAATATTATTCTCTATTGATTTGAAATAGATCTAGTATATCTAAAAAAAAAAAAACCTCATTTGTCAGTTTGTAACCAGGTTTTTAATTTTGTACTTGTAGGTTTAAAACTATGAGAAATGTTTGAAATTTTTTCATTCATACACCCCCAGTCGAGAAAGACATAATTTATAACACGCTTACATCAGTATGTACATTGTAAGGTATTTCCGGGAAACAACAACATGTTTATTCAATTTGCAATCAAGCCCATGAAAAACTGGTTACAAAACTGCACCCTGTATGTAGCAAGCACACTCGGTGATACACCAAGACGAGCACGAAAATGAAAACTAATCTTTTTTTATGAATGTGTCTAATAATAAATAGTAGGAACAAGTGAATCCGGCAACTTACTCTTACCTGTAGGGCTTCCATAGCTTTACTGGCAGAATCTTTTCTTTTGTAATTGACAAAAACGCAAAATTTTTCTGGTAACATTCGAACACTTTGTAACTGTCCATATCTTTTGACAAAACACACAAAATACACAACAGATTAACACACATTCGTAAACTTACAAACGCAAGCATGTCATCTTAGTGGTTCTTTTTAACTGATTGCATGCAGAATCTGAGACTAAACCAAGAACAAAAAGCAAAGTGCATAGACCAAGTTTAGTACTGTTAGATTTCCAACAACAATAAATTGCCTTTTCAAAACAAAATTAACTTACTTTCCAAATGCTTCTCTGATATCTTTTTCTGTAACTTTTGGTAAAACGTTTCCTATCCATAAAGAAGTTAGACCCTCAGGATTTTTTGTACTAAAAAGAACAACATCATTATATGAGCAAACATATTACACACTGGATGGGTTTTCACATGTACCAAATTTTTATCATTCCAAATTTACGTTATTTTTATAATAATTACATGACTTCTATATCTTAATATTACACCTAGAAAACAACCACGATGTTAAAATCGAACAATCACAAATAATATAAAACAGTGCATGCATACTTCTTGTCTGGTAGCTTGCTCCAATTGTTATGATAAATCTCTCTTCGATCTCGGAACAAATTCTTATCCAAGTTACCAGTACTGTTTGTGAAATACAAGTCTTTGTTTTAGACTCCTTTGACAGCTATCTCACTGTGAAATTCCGGGCACTAGCCACAGGTAATGAACTTGTCATATACATGGAAATGCCCAATAGCTGACAACACCCATGAAAGGTGATCAAGTCGAGTCTGCATGTGACAGAATAATCACAGCGCAAGAGCATAGCTTTATTTAATAAGATTATTCTTAGCCGGCACCAAAATAAACTGATAAGGAAAACTGCTAACTCCCTATCAATTCCCCTTCGAACATTGCAATACTGTGAAATACTTTATTTTCGCTTGGAATTAATTTCCACTATTTTCGCTAAAGAAATGATTCAGTGAAAATAAAATCCAGTGAATATACTTTTTTTCCTATATTTTACATTCAACTCGTCAAAAATCAGTGAAAATAAATTCTATACAAAACACACAAAAAGTCTTTTCATCGAAAATTAATTCCAGCTAAAATAAAGTATTTTACAGTATCCCTTAGAAAGTTCTTAGTGGTGTTTATTGTAACTTTGGCTCAATCTAATCACTAGGGGTGCTGGGAGTGTTAGTATTGAGAATACATATTTAATTTATGGATGTAAATATGTACTGAAATTACAAATGTGGACCAGCCCTGTTCGTCCATATTTCTGAACTGCATTGCAGACGGTGCTCTACGGACAGTTGACTTTAGTGGCCGATGTTTTCCATGAAAACCATTTTCAATCATTAATAATTTAAATGGGGAATTTTGTATTCCTATGAATGTTCTACAAGTGTAAAATTTAATTTTAAATCCTCTAAGTTTCCAATAGTTGAATAACACTGCTAAGAATCTCCCAAGGGATATTGCAATGTTTTCATGATGCGGTTAAAATGTGATTGACTTTCTCTAAGGTAACACAGGATTCAAGAGTTATGTAAACTCAAGTGAGTTAGTAACATTGATTCCTATTATCATCTCTTTGTCAAGACAGTGTGACTTACTCTGTTTTGCTAGCTTCAATAGATTTACTAATTTGATCTTCATCGTCCGAGATATAAATTTCTTCACTTTCCTGCGGCAGAACCGCTCCAGCTAAAAGTGATTCTAAAGCTTGCTGTACAGTGCCATGTCGGCGTATCGCTGCTTCACTCTGCGACCGAGTAAAACCCATTTCCTGTAATTATACGTGGACATTTTATGAACATGTACCTGATACACAAGGATGATTTAAATTAAAGTCATTCCACTGAAACAGACCTACAATTAAGAAACATTCACAGCTTTGCCCAATCCTTACTGCGTACATTATTTTTTCCAAAATCGGATTTTTTTTTATGGTTAAGACAATATCTTATTTTTGGGCAGACAAATATTTACTATACTTGCTCTATTATTAGTGCATGTATGCGCTTACGTCACTTGCACAGTTGTATACATGGTCGAAATAAGTCATATTTAAATGATCAAGCATACAATAAATTCTTGGTTTATGTTTATATTCGGAATGCGCGTCACATTTGTTAGGGTTCATAGGCACGTGCCAATAAATGCTAGGTAATCACATGGTGTACTATTACAAACAATATATTGATATTTTGAGTGAACACCGGATTCATGGTTGGGGAGACACGCCTTTATCAAATTTACCACATCATTACTGCACAGCATTATTGGTAATGTGTGTAACGATAGGAAAGCGAGGGGGGGGGGTGTCTTTTCTTGTTTCAAGTGTGTTCATTGTAAATGTGTATATGTCACAGAGAGCAAACTTTAATTTCCAGCTCTGTCTAACTAAATACGCTCACAGTCTTACCATTAATTGTCTTGTTCTACATCTAAGTAACTCTTGCATAGCATCTTCACAAAGACGATCTAATTTTAAAACTCTTTCAAACGAACTCTCAGCATCAGCAAATAACTGCCAAAAAATAAATAATGACATTAAAATGAGCAATTAAAAGACTATATAGACGACCTGGAGTAATACCTGGCTACCTGGCTAATAAATTCACTATATGCCGCTCAACTAATGTCTAGCTACAGTGCTAGTAATATCTCATAGTGGTCAGCTGTTAACTTTATCACAGCATTTGACCTAGCCAATGAAAAAAATATTACATCATGTGTGTGACATTTCTCTTAATCTTGGATATTACTTGAACCCAGGGTGTTAGCCAGCCATCAGTCCACCCACCAAACAGACTGGCAACTTTTTTCCATATTTTTTTCTATTGTTCTAATTTTACCAAAATATATTGAAAACCATCACCATTTTCATGAAGTTGAATTGTTTTGGACTAGCAGTTGCAAATTTCTGGCTAATAGCCTGCTTGAACTGAAATCTTTATGTTAGTGGAGTGGCAGTTGCTCACTGTACATAACTGAAAAAGAAAGTATATTTACCTTAAGACCTGCAAGTGCTCGTCCTTTTCTAAAATAACCTTTTGGCCAATCTTTTGCTAAAGCGATTGCTTTATCAGCATCTTTTAGGGCTCTACAATTCAAAATAGAAAGTTGACTCGATTACCGGTAATAACTAGAACTAAATCGTGTTTTGGCGTTTCCATGCCAACCCACATGATTAGAACATGATTTGTACAGGGTTTGTATAAAATGACATCGCTGAGCATTATGTCATGTGATTATTTATTCATGAAGTCAGATGACACCACTAAGCATTACATTATGTGATTAATTAATCATGAAGTCAGATGACATCACTATAGCATTACATCATATGATTAATTATTCATGAAATCAGATGACATCACTAAGCATTACATCATGTGATTAATTATTCATGAGTCAGATGACATCACTACATTACATCATGTGATTAATTATTCATGAAGTCAGATGACATCACTATAGCATTACACCATGTGATTAATTATTCATGAAGTCAGATGACATCACTATAGCATTACACCATGTGATTAATTATTCATGAAGTCAGATGACATCACTATAGCATTACACCATGTGATTAATTATTCATGAAGTCAGATGACATCACTATAGCATTACACCATGTGATTAATTATTCATGAAGTCAGATGACATCACTATAGCATTACATCATGTGATTAATTATTCATGAAGTCAGATGACATCACTAAGCATTACATCATGTGATTATTTATTCATGAAGTCAGATGACATCACTAAGCATTATGTCATGTGATTAATTATTCATGAAGACATGACCAAACATGACCAACAAAATTAAAAATAGCCACAGACATATTTTAAACTATAGTACATGTAATATTAAAATAATTTCTCAAGGGCTTTGTTCAGGGAATAAACTTTTTTGGGATTCACTACAAATCACAGAAAAGTCACATTGAAGTAAAAATAAAAGTAAAGCAAATGTCATTATCATCAGCGTACGTTGTCCTCATTTGATCAATTTTATGAACTGTGCAGCAATCTATGATTACGTCATTTCTATTTTTAGTAAGATTGCGTAATTATGGGAAACGCAATATAAATACACTCTATACTTACTTGTCATATTGGTCGAGGCGATCATAACAAAATGAACGGTTACCAAAAAACCTGAAAACAGAAACTCAGAAAATCAATAATGAAGCATACAATTAATCACTATACTATGAAATGAGAATAATTATTAGAGCAGACATGAAAACATGTATGTGAACCAGTTGTAGTTTTCAATACCTATTATGAAATGTTACACAAGAATGTCACTGATAGTCCTGAAAGTCTACAAGCAATGGATCTAAAAAGGGATTTGTAACTTGCTGGTCGCTTTTAACAACATTTTTCAGGCCAATATTTGCATGCAACATTTTTATGTATTTTTCTATAAATTATTTCCTAATTTTTGACTAAATGGAAACAATTTCTATTGGCTACAAATTTTGATTAACAATTTTTCACGTTTCAAAGAACACCAAGCTTAACTAAAAATATTAGTAACTGAATTACTGACCTGAAATCCCTAGGGTCTAGTTTAATAGCTTGTGTAAATAAATCTATTGCTGCAGTGTAATGACCAAGATTGGCCATTTCATTACCTCGAACTGTAAAGCAAAGCATACAAAAAACTGATTATACTGCCCTCTCGTGTTGATTTACAGAAATGTTATAGGTCATTCACCTTTCATTTGAACTTTTAATTGCTTTCTTTCTGATACATTTCTTTAGGTTTGAAACAAAACATGAAAAGGGATGCAAATAATGTACAGTTTAAGAAAGTCGCTCATATTTGTAAGCAACCCAGAAAATAGGATTCAAATGGTATTGGGCATTTTTTATAATACACCAGGTTTTCATCTGGTTCCATATTCAAACAGCTCTAGATAGGCCAAGGTACTAATAGAAAGTACTGCACACATACCCGCTATTTGCCTACTTCGTAAAACAACAGGATCTAAATCTTCTACCTGCAAAAATAAGGTAACTTTTGTAAGATACTTGACAGTTAAAACAGGGGTGCAAAGTAAGACAATATAATTTTGATTTTGGGTAAAAAAGGTTTAATAAAAGTTAAAAGTATTTAAAACCTACAGAATCTTTTTCATCATTTTTTGGTGTCTCTTTACTTTGTTGTTTTTCTTTTTTGACTTGTTTCTCTTTAGTTGCAGACTGTTGAGTAGAAATTTTACGAGCACTCGCAGCAGCCTTGGCAACAAAAGCACTATTCGGATCAAGTCCGTCATCAGAATCAAGATCTGTTTTTGACCTACAACAACAAATTTATGAAAAAAAAAATTGCATGAAAATAACATGAATAATTTTAATGAAGCCTAATAATTCACTGGGTTTTAATTTTGATATTTTGGCTGATAAGTGAAATCTGCTAAATTAAAGGGCGGCAGTCGTTGTGCCGCGTCTTGTTCGATATGGCATAGCAATGTATAGAAGGCGTGTAAAATACATTATTTATTCACATAAAAATTCGAACACGCGTCGACCACCGTGCTTTAAATTTAATTAACATGTAAAATAACAATAAAACTCATTGTTTCCTTGACAAATTTGTGAAATTAAAACACAGTGGATACGCTCAAAACATCACAATAATGAAATTAAATGTCGATGAAAATAAATGGTTTCACAGTAGTATTTCCTTCACCATAAACATAAAACAAAATCAATCAATGTGTATCTAACACATCACTATTTTTATCTCTGTTTTATCTCAATACCAATCAAAAACAAAGAAATGGGATGATTCAGAAATTACATAAGGTACATGCATGGACCAAATATAACATTGCCAAAGAATTAAGTATCCAGTGTTCAATTTTAGCGCATTTGAGGTTGCAGGGATATTCACTAGGTTTTAAACACACTGGTCTGTGAAGAAAACAACAGGTTCTATTGTTAAATTTTAATTATCACCGGGTTTAAATTTAGCACATTTTGCTGTCAGCGATTTGAGCGAAAACAAAAAGACAGTGAATTATTGAAACACATACATACTGATACTAAAGCATAATTATTTAAAAAAAAAAAAAAAATTTGATTATCAGATTTCAAAAATATTCTATATTCTAGAAGACGAATTAACAACTCACCTATCTTTTTTACTTGTTTTTACAGGCTTTTTAGACTCAGTACTATTATTATTGACTAATTGCTTTTTGACAGTGTCCTTTTTAATATCACTTTTACTGGAGATAGGTTTGGAAGACTTTGAGTTTAAAGATGATGAAAGTTTCTTTGTAATCTCCTCCATGTGTTCGCTGTCCTCGTAGTCTTCGTCGTCAGACTCACTACTTCCATCGCTAGTCTGTGAAGTGATATAGAAAAAATAATTAGTGACTGAAGCCAAGATGAAGTGAAAATGGTTGATTTGGGACCCTTACTAACATGTACCCTCAAGGTTCCACACCTGTAACAAAAAAATTATATTTGGTCACTGGACGAATGCAACATCTTATTTTCTTCATCAATTAATTTGTGGCCAATCCAAAACTTGTATGAATAAAATGAAAATAATAAAAATATTATGTTTCAAAACACAGGGATAATGTTGATAAAGTAGAAATTTTTGCAGTACTGCTGAATTGACATAGCCCACTGATTTGAACAGTACAGGTACACTGGACAAATGTAGTGTGACCTCATGATCATGAGTGTTTCAAATTGACAATGTTATCTTTCGACTGGTCGGATAAAATTTTCTGTTGAAATCTACAACTTCAACTACCATTCTAGTGAGGCGATTATGCATCTACCGGGGTTTCCTTGAACTAAGGGCAAGTCAAATTTTTGCATTTTGCAGGTTAATCTGCAAAAATATTTGCTGAAATGGTGATCACATGAGACAGATTGTCTTTATATACATAAATTATTGCTTTGGAACTGTCTGAAAGTGGTCACTATAGACAGGTGATCCTTATATAGAGGTGGTCACTAACACAGGTTTGACTGCAAAACTGATAAGCACACTGGACACCATACTTGGCTGTTTGGTTGGGAAAAACACTGCATACACTGAGAAAATTTATAAAACAAATGTAATTCAGTCTCTGAACTGACATCACTGTTTACCACTATGCCATGGAAGAAAGTGCATAGGAAGTTTATACATTATTGTTCTGAGAGGAAAAGCATGGTGAAACCCTTCAGCAAAACATAGTGGCAATACAGCGGCTGCGGTAACACAGTACATTCAAATTTTAGTACATGTATATGAACAGACATTTGATAACAAATGTTAAGGTCTGGAAGAAACATGATTTAGGAAAGAATACCATCACTAATATGCCATTGTTTAGTTGTTCGTTGTATGATATCCGGATGTCCCACAGTCAACAAT